GTTTTTTAATTTTTAAAAATTGTTTTTTTATTGTAACCTTCCCCCTTTTTAATTTACCCCCCCCCCCCCCCCCCCCCTCTGCCTGAACTTCCAGTACCTCCTTCCTAATTAAGTACCACCATAATTTCTGCCATAATAGCTGCCATATATTCTGCCCACTTCTAGTTTTACAGAGTAAAAAGACATGCATTTTGATCCCAAAAAAATCTGATATTCTACCTGATTCCTACATGATCTAACCCCCTGATGATAAAGCAGTTGATATGATAAAAGTGACTTAATTATGCTAGAGATTTACATACAAATTGTAAGTATCTACAAGCGGCTGGTTGAATTATCAATCGCTACGAAAATCCCCCAAACAAATAACTAACGCTAATTCACTCATACAACTTCCAATTTTGTAGCACTTGGCCAAAATAGATATTCAATTCTTGTTTCAACCCATTTTTGCATTGTTCTCGCCCCATTTTCGAGCTCATTTCTATCATTATCATCACGAATATAGCCAATCTCAGCCTCTCTTACATGATAACTAGACCGGATTCGGATGAAGCGGGTGCATAGTGCCACGTGCCGTGTACGCATGGTACGTTTGATTCATGGGTACTATGAACTGGAAGCGAGAAATCATGATTCATGCGAAGCACTCCATGGAAATGATTATTTGATCATATACAACCCGTGAAGAATCAAGATCTACTAGTGCGCTTCCTCGAGTGAATTAATAGTACCAACCCCTCATTTTATCAGAAGTCATAGAAATGGCTCTCCACAAGACCCGGCTGGACCGTTTTCCATAAACTAAAAATACATCTTGATTATCGGAAATCCCGATCTGCTTTGACTTGCTTAGAAATTGAACCGTTACATTAAGCGAAAAGCCACGGGGTAGTCGTCTCACCATCCCGACCATATACCTGGAAAGGTATGGGGGCGGAAAGATGGATATCGGGGAATTTTTGCTAGTGGATCTGTCCTCGTGTTACTCCGTATGTCGGCTAATAGTACAGATAAAATAACAAAAGAAGCATCTCGGCCTTTATTCGTAACAAAAGCATTCCAATAGCATGGATACACGTAAGCGAGCTGGACACCTTAAACATCATAGTAAATGCGATATATTCTACACTTGTGACTGACGGTTGCCGAGCTACTGAAATTAGTTGGATGGGAGTAGGTGGGATGTCAATTCGGAATTTTATTGATGAAGAGAGAAGGTTAGGACTAGCTACTATCTATATCTGCCTTCTCCGGCTGTCAACATCCAAACGGAGCGAAAGAGGCCGCAGGGCGCCTCGATTCACTTCGTTTGCTGAGACTCCATCTCCTCCACGGATTAGTTTCGTCCGAGGCAACCCGTACCCGACTATTGATGGCGGATCGGACCAACCCGACGGTCCGTTGGGTGGGATGTCGTACGGCACCCCGCGGGGCTGATGTGAATTCTCAACTCCGATTTGCCACCGGCCCGGTTTCTCCAGCTTGACCACATCGTACGGAGTACTCCGTAGTCGACCAGTAAATTCTCTGGTAGGGTCCCGTTGGTTGGGGCCGGCCAGATAGCCTCTCGCTGAGTGGTGAGGTTGTGGAGCCTCGTCCGCCGCCTCATGCATGACGGCGATCGTCCAAAGACCTCAGCGTTTCAGTATCCCAACAACCAAACCAAATATTTACTTTATTTCTCTATTTGCCGATAGATATTGATAAGGCTTATTAGTACTATATGTCAATTACCAAGAAAGTAGGACGCCGTATTATGGTCATTTCAAAGATTACCGATAATTCCGTTGCCAAAAGCTGGAGATGTGTGTCTAAACCAATAAAGATGGTATAAATTACCTGAATAGCGTCAACCTAGAAGTAAAAGTTCCTACAGACTACAGATAGTTATCAAGTTGTGATTTATCACATTTACTATGGTGCTTTAGGGTCTTGCGTGTCCAGCTCGGTTACCGAATATGTTACCGTTGTATTGTAACAATACACTTAATTTTGTATGATTTGTCCACTATGGGTGCGGGTATTTTATGGTATCTTACTCTAGAATACTATATAAAAATAGAGTATTACAGTAGCATAACAACCGTAACTATTCTTAAAATGATTAAAAAATGCAGTAATAATACCGTCTCTCCTGCAGGGTACCTTTGATCATTGCTGACATCTTTTTTCAATGCTGACTGCATACATCCGCTCCCGTCGAGGTTTAGCTCGTAGAAAACACGAGGCATGTTGTAGGTTGGAACGGCAGCAGAGGTTATACTCCTGCAAGATCACGATAATCTATCTGAAGAATGCTTATCCAGTACGAAGTATAAATGGGAATGCTATTCAAAAATTGTCTTATTTCTATCCACTTCTCGCACGCGTTGACTACTATCTTGATTACCTTCAATCATCTATCACTCAACAATGGCTAAAATGGCTTCAACTGATGAAATTGATAAAATGATCGATAAAGAGGATTGGAGTCAAATATCGGAGCCAGCTTTGCGCAAACGCATCCAAAATCGTATCTCACAACGCAAGCTTCGTATGTTTTTCTCTTTCCTGGGCCAGACTGTATCCATCCACTAACTCAATTACAGGGGCGAAGAGGAAGCTGCAAAACCAGCCAATCCCCTTCAACATCGTGGCTTTAACGCCTTCCATAGATGGTAGCCCTCATTTGTCTGCAGCAAATACCGCTGGAAACTCAATTGGAGAAACATTTCCGGATCCCATGGACGCTTTGTATCCTCCCATCGACCTCGAATGGCAGGCAAACTTCGACATGGCAAATTTCGACGTGAATACTCCCTCGCCTTTCGAAGGCACCATTCCGTGGAGCCCGGACGAGATATCACTTACCACACCATCGCAGACGACAGATGCAGAACTCGGCGACTTCGACTTCGACTTCGACTTCGACTCTCTACCATTTGATCTTACAACCGATGATGATCAGATCGCCTTGGATCCGGAAATTCTCCATATGGACACATTGGTCTCTCCTCCGTCTTTGCATCCCAGGGAATTCAAAAATGGAAATGTTTTAATCCACATCGATAATTCCAGGCCACACACTCCCCGATCCAGCTACGCGGTGTCTTCTTCCTTGGATACATCTAACGAATCTATGTCGTCCAGAGGCTGCCCAGTCAAATGGAGTACCCGAATGCTATCCCGCGGCTTTGAAATGGGAGCTTCTAGAAGCAATGGCACGATACGGAAGCAATTATTTCGTCCATGGAAGAAATGCACCACAACCACTACAACCGAGGATAGTCCTTATCAGTCTTCCCAAGAAGATGTGGTAGAATGCAGCAATTGTGGCTGCCACGTGGCCGTGCGGGAAGCGCCTCGGCCAAGCCAGCAGGAACTAGTGGAGATGTTGATTCAACATAATCCGGCACTGGCTGAGTTGGCTAAACAGCCAAATGTGCGGATCGAATATGAGTTGCCTACATCTTGGGAGCAAAGTACACGGCATAGTTCATCGGTTGATTTGGAAATGGAAGGGAAAGAAGGGGAGGTAGAGGGTGAACCAAAGTACATCATAATCTATTCCGGACATGAGCGACCCCAAAAGCCAACTTGTTCCGAGTAGATGGTTCTCCCTCTATCAACTACACGCATTGTACATAGAATTTCCCGGTTTTTCCGAAAGTTAACTAATTAGAAATATTACCGTCTGACCCTGACTGCAGGTGGCTTGAGGCTGACTTGAAACATCTGATACCACCAATTCCAACGGAAATATTTAACTTTAGCATAACCGCATCTAAAATATCACTATTGTCATTATTTCCACAAGCACAATGAGCATCAACGGATTTGCTCTCGTTACTGGTTCAGGGAGCGGGATTGGCCGGGCCTGCGCGTTGGCCTTTGCTTCTGAAGGAGCTGCTGGCGTTGTCTTTGCCGATTTGAACCGAGAGAGCGCTGAGAAGGCAGCCGAAGAAAGCAAGAAATTGGCAACACACCCTGCATATCGAGCACTCGTATTGACCCTCGACGTGACCAATGAGGAGCAGGTGGAATCCGTGGTAGCAGAGACGAAGCAGGCGTTTGGAAGAATTGATTACATGGTGAATTCGGCTGGAGTATGAGCTTTCTCTCCATCTTCTTGCTACTTGATTTTCTGATGCCTCTATGTAGATTGGTGTCCAAGTCGCAGCGGAGATTGCCGAAGCATCCCTGCCGGAATTTAACCGCTTCCTCGACGTGAACGTCAAAGGGACTTTCCTTCTCACCAAGGTTATGTCTCGCGCCATGAAAGAGCAACAGCTGAAGCCCGTGAGCTCGAAAAATCCCGATCGGGGTTCTACGCGGGGTGTTATTCTCAATATGGCGTCTTGTTCATCGTTCGTGGCGACGCCTTTATTGACGCAGTATACCACGTCTAAACATGCCGTTCTTGGTTTGACTCGAAACGCCGGTACGTCTGACATGATTTAAATGGACAGAAAGAGAAAAGTCCTAACAAAAGAAAAGCATTGGATAATGCGCAATACAATATCCGTGTCAACTGCCTGTGCCCCTCGTGGGTTGATACGCCTATGGTGGACCGCGCCGTGCAAGGGAATCCGGAATTGAAGGCGCTGATTGCAAAGGCCGTGCCAATGGGAAGGATTGCACATGTGGACGAGATAACTGATTTGATCTTGTTCCTATGTAGCCCCAAAGCGAGTTATGTCACTGGTAGTAGCTGGATTGTTGATGGGGGAACTACTCTGACAAGTCATGCTTAAGCGTTCCCCGATGTCATTGTCAGATAATGTCAGATAATGTCAGATTCAGGTACCAAGTATCATAAAGAAATATATTTCTAAATATATAAGATTGCTATCTCCTTACTTTTAAATCCACCCAACACATCAAACATCCCATTACACAAACATTCATCATGACTACCACTGCCGCTATCAACTTCATCACCGACGGCTTCCCAGCCCCAGGTCTGCGCGCGACCCAACGTCTCATTACCGGCAACAAAGAAGAAGACGGTAAAGGTCACTTCCTCGTCACCGACAATGGCGACCACCACCGTGTCATGGGTGAGAACCAGGCTGTTGCCAATATTATCTACTCCACCCATGAGAACCCCGTCGACCTCAACGAGGACAAAGATATCAAATATGCCAAGGAGAACGAGGTTAGTCTAACCAAGCCTAACACATCTTCATATGAACGCAGACCTGACCAACACAAAGCCCGGTCTCCACATCACCAACGGCACGGTCGTACGTATGATCGATTTTGGTCCTGGAGTGGAGTCGCCCATGCATCGGGCCATGTCCATCGATTATGGCATTGTGATGGATGGTGATTTTGAGTTGACCCTGGACTCCGGCGAGACACGCATAATGAAGCAGGGTGACATTAGTGTGCAGCGGGCGACGGCGCACAAGTGGAAGAATATCACTGCTGGAGAGACACAGGCTGGGCGGATGTTGTATGTCTTGCTTGACTGTAAGGAGGTCCTGGTTCAGGGAAAGAAGATTGAGGGATTTTTGGGTGAGTTGGAGAAGGAATACGAAGGAAGAAGTGCATGATTTGGATGTACTGCCTATCATACTTGATACTTGATACTGAATGGGAACGATATATTTATACGCACCTCCACGTAAATTGAGCAATAAAAATGAGTCGAAGCACACCTAGGAAATGAGAATCACGCCCAAATTTACCATGAACATCTTGAACCTAGCCGAGTTGATGAGAAATTAGCTTTAGTTAGAATATATTTCGGGGATTTTGCAAGGAGTACATTTAACAATACATTTTTTTTGCAATTGAATACCATCTATCTTTAAATTGTAACCTGGAGGGTCAAAGATTTTATATTGAGATTACCTAATAATCCGTGAATATGAAGCTATTCAGAGATCACCTGATCACCTGATCTGTCAATCAATGTAAATTTATTCTACCACCACCAATAACAGACATACTTTAATTCTAAAAAAGCCATTAAATGGCTATAAAATATAGAGTATCTGATTGATTAAATGCGATCGTAATTTGTCATAACGATAGTACAATGGTAGAATTTTCATTCTGACTTGAGCTTCTTTATATATTTGCGCCACAAATAGAATGAATTACTGGTCATATTTAATTCATTCGGTAAGCCCTACTCTATACTACTTAAGTGCCGCTTTAGAATGAGGTTATACTATGATTGGTAGTGATAGAATTAATTTAGATTGCTTTGTACTCCGTAGGCAGATAAGATGATCTCTGAATAGCTTCATAGTGACAGATCAGGTGATCAGAGAGAGGAAATTTGGTCAGTAGAACGTATAATAACATCTTTCATTAACTGGCAAACTATCCTAGAATATAGAATACAACATGAACTCTAATTATCAAGGACAACGTTCATCAGTTGGGCAACCCATTGTTATAGCTGAACAAACCCTTGGGATCCCACTTCTTCTTCAGTTTCAGCAACGTAGGCAGCTTCTCCGCGCCATACATGGGATCCAATCCCTCGGTGCCGTGGGCATAGCTGACGTAGATGTGCATATCACCATCAAAGCCACTGGTCGCGTTGAAAGACTCCAGGGCAGCAAGGGCAAAGTCGTCTATCTTATCGCCGAGGGAGGAGTCGGTAATGTTAAAGGAAAACATTCTAATCAAGTGTTAAATGGGTGTCCAAAATCACACGGATACATAATGAAACAGAGAAGGCTTACTCATGGGCACTGATCTCGCGATGGGGATAGGCAGTGGAGGCATCCGCAACAGCAGTGACAGCTTGGATGGGGAAATACTCCACCTGCCAGGTGGTTCCTGACGCAGAGGGATAGTCTTCCCAGAACTGAACGAGCTTGCTGAAGTAATCGATGTGTGTTGCTGCGTCGATGGAGCGTACACCGAGGGACCACATATCGTGCTTTTCACCATTGACACAGAAAGCCGTGGCTAGACCGAAACCGGCGTCGTCATCGACGGCATCCCACTTAATCATGGTGATGTTGCGTTGAATAGAGGTCAGGTTGAGGAAGGGGGCAAGAAGATCGAGTCCTTCTTGCTCAGCTCCGGGATAGACGGCGTTCAGCAGGATAACGGGCTAAATAAAATGAGCCAGGCTGCTGATAGCATATGAGTTGAAAGAACTTACTCCCACGGAAGGACTATTCATGACCAAGGTATACAAGGACAGACCGGCGGGCAAAGTTCCATAACTAGCCAAGATGTTGAAATAAGTTTCGTTGAGGCTAGCAGGGAACATAAAGTCGGCGTTGAGCACATTGCCTTCGTTTGTGAGATCGTGGACGTTATATGTAGCCGAGGTAACAATTCCATAGTTAAATCCAGCGCCACGAAGGCCCCAGAATAGTTCTTTGTTCTGCGTGGCAGAGACGGTGATAAGATCGCCAGCAGCGGTGACGAGCTGGACCGACTTCAAAGCATCGAGTATGAGACCGTGAAGGCCTTGGTATCTGCCAACACCACCGCCGAGAGTAGCACCTACCATTCCCACACAAGGACAAGAGCCGGTTTCTATTAGTAAAGTGTTAGAGAGAAGAATCCGCACCCCATATCATGGACTAGATACTTACGAATCTCCTTTCCAGCCTCGAAGAGAGGTCCCATGACTTGAGAGAACTTAACAGAACCACCGATAGTCATTGTGCTTGCAGATTTGTCGATACTGACGCTGTTAAACAGGCTTAGGTCAATCTTCAAACCGTTCTGAAGACCTCCGAAAGAGGTACTATATCCATGGCCTCCACCACTGGCCAAAAAAGGGATATTATATTTGGAAGCGTATTTGACCTGTTTTATTTCATAGTCAGATATGGAAAAGAATAAGGACAGAGGCAAAACGTACAACAGACTGGAGCTCCGCAACAGAGGCAGGCTTAATGGCCACAGAGAAGGTGGGCTCGTCCCACGCGGTCCATCGCTGGACGGTGTCAGCCCAGTCAGCATCGCTGGGGTAGTAAATCTGGGAGGAGGAAGAAAGGGTAGACACGAGAGACGAGATGTTAGAGGCGGCTGCTAGATAGACGAAGGAGAGAACCCCAAACAGGAAGAGCAGGGGAGATGCAGCCATGGTTCCTTGCATATGCATGTTGATCGCCAAGCTTCAACTTTTGAGTGCTTAGATTGAATCTTACAAATGATGTTCTGTTTGTTCAATGTGAGATGATTCAGTATGGTATTTATATTTCAAAGGTTGACACTGATGGGGGCCAAATTGTCAGGACAGCTGAATCGTGCCATCAGTTTACGAGGCATGACCCCTTTAATTCCATACTCATTAATTCCATACTCATCTACAGATGACAATAAGCTGTTGAGGAAATGAGCCATTTACTCCGCTTTAGGTGTAGCAACTATTTTCAGTAGCTTGGCTTACCTTCTGCATCTTCTTTTTTCCTTCTCCCTATGTCAATCATTCATTGGTTTTCATCCGGAGACCTGCATATCGGAGATCTCAATGCAAACAGGAGTTCCTTGATGGAGGCTGAGATCTGACCACATGGAACGTTAGCTAATTTCGGCTAGACGCTAAAGATGCATGTCAGGTCAGAATGCATGACGCTTCGTGTCAGACAGTCAGAAATCGACCCAAAAGGCTTAATATAAATAATTTGGCCGAGCGTGTGCAAATTTTGATCAGCCAATTATTCATCATGGGTTCTACATCGAACAACTATGTCGAAAAAAGCCACTCGGAGCCACGGCGGCTCAAAGTGGTCCACGTTGGCGCTGGTGCAGCTGGTTTGATGATGGCTTACAAGGCAAAGAATATGCTATCCAACTATGAACTGACTGTCTACGAAAAGTAAGGAACCGCCTTGCTAGACTTGATGTATCTACTATTGACGCTTTTGTAGAAACACCGAAGTAGGAGGAACCTGGTTTGAAAACAAGTACGTTTTATTTTCCCCTCTTTTCCCCCCGTTAAACAAACTCTATTAAACAAGTGTTAATTCAAATAATCAATGTATTAGATATCCAGGAGTGGGTTGTGATGTTCCGGCTCATTCATATGCCTTCACCTTCGAACCCAATCCGGAGTGGAGTGGATATTATGCCAGAGGACCGGAAATCCAGCAATATTTTGTCAACTTTGCCAAGAAGTATAGTCTATACAATTTTATTCGATTTGAAACGGAGGTAGTCGAGGCTACTTGGTGCGAAGATGATGGCGAATGTTTGTCTTCCTACCATCAAATATAATCACGGATAACTAATTGATGTAGGGCAACTAGAGCTGCAGCGCAAAGACGGCTCTCGCTTTACGGATCGATGCCATGTTCTAGTGAATGGTTCTGGGCCATTGAATAAATGGAAATGTATGCTCATGTTTTGACTGCATCTATGATCTGGTGCTAATCCTTCTAGGGCCTAAAATTGACGGCATCGGCAACTATCGTGGCATCCTTACGCACACAGCCAACTGGAACTCCTCTATTGACTGGAAGGATAAACGAGTAGCAGTCATTGGAACTGGTTCATCTGGGATTCAAATCATTCCTCAAATTGTCAAGGGTATGCTCCTATGCCCCCCTCTGATATAACCTTCTGCTGACTCCCACCGTTAGACGTCAAATCACTCTCAGTGTTTGTACGTTCTACGCAATGGATTGTTCCCCCAGCGGCATTCCAAGATCTGCGCTTGTTTCCCGATGAACCTGAGAAGTCAGCTCCGCCCGCACCGGCTGGAAGCCATTTCTATACCGAGGCTGAGAAAGAAGTATTCCGTAACGATCCTGCTCGCTTTTTGCAATATCGCAAATCTGTCGATGGAGTCATGCAAGAGCGATTCCCAATCTTCCTGCGTGATCATCCCATGCATGATATGACGACCGAGATGATTTCCCAGATGATTAAGGCACGTGTTGGACCAGACCGGCAGGACCTGGCCAAGCTATTCACGCCTGACTTTTCGCCTGGATGTCGTAGGCCTACTGTAAGTTCTTACAAATATCTTCTGAAAGTAGGTGCGCTGACATAGCAGCCCGGCGATGGCTTCTTGGAAGCATTGACAGAAGACAGTAAGTTCATTTCTTGAATGTGTGGGTCGTTTTGCAAAAGGCTGACAATCAAGACGTCCGAGTCATCAAGAGTGGAATCACGCGGTTTACTGAAAAGGGAATCGAAACAAAAGAAGGAGTTGAGCACGAATTCGACTTGATCATCTGTGCCACTGGTTTTGATGTTGCTTTCGCACCTCACTTGTGAGTTTCTTTTGTTTCCACTGAGTATGGCATATGACTCTAACATATCCAGTACCGTGACCGGCAAGAATGGACAAACTATGCGCGAAGAATGGGCAAAAGTAATACCCCACCTACAGATATAGAGAATAGAGAAAGGAAGGCTAACTGGAAAAGTCCCCCAACATCTATCTCAGCATGAGCACACCAAACTTCCCCAACTTTTTCTTCATTGGTGGACCAACGGGAAACTGGGCCCAGGGTTCCGTTTTGATTACTGTATGAATCCCTCTCGAGCTCGACTCTGGTGAAATGCTTAGCTGACCCTCTAAATCCAACAGCACGAAGCCCAAGTCGAATATGCGCTTCAGTGCGCTGCCAAGATCAGCAACGAGAATTTGCACTCTTTGACTCCCAAGCAAAGCGTAACGACACAATGGCGGCGCCATGTAGACACTTGGCACGATGGGCATTCAGTATGGGCTGAATCATGTGAATCATGGATGAAGTATAACAACCGAATTCAGCTGTGGTCTGGAAGTATGCTTCATATGCTCAAGACGCTCAAGACACCTCGTTTTGAGGATTACGAGATCAAATACCTGGATGAAAATATGTGGTCGTATCTTGGGGACGGACGGACTGCGTTGGAGCTGAAGAGGGAACAGGGTCAAGATGTTGATATGGCGCCATTCATGCGAATTCGGGATGAGTCGTGGTCATTAGAGTAACTTATCCGTCATACTCAAATGTTATTCATTTTTACTCGATTGTGTCAGACCGGGATATGGTCCCCCTAGGCCTGGTTTTTGTTATGATCTGCGAAGGGGCAGGGCGGTCAAAGGTCAAATGCCTGATTTTGCAGGGTTGATGCCTGAATATGCCTGAATTATAGACCGCTTTTGACACCGCTCTATCCCGTGAACTGTAAATTGAAGCTATTCCCACCATACAAAATATCAGTTTCTTCGAATCCCTAGCGTTGAGAACCATCCCCGACTATATAAACCATTGAATTGAAGCTATTCCCACCTCATAAATTAGTTGTACGGTCGCAGCTTCAGCGCCTAGAAATAGATGCATACGGAGATTTATATGGGAATACCTTCATTGTTTTTGAATACTTTGCTGAGCCCTCTATCCTGTGATTCCTGACAGTCTAAAATAAGGCATAATTCAGGCGAATTGAGACATCAACCCTGCAAAATCAGGCATCTGACCTTTGGCCAATCTGCCCCTTCGCGGGTTTGATTTATTTGATTTTGTATGTGTTGTTCGTTAAAGATATATATTGATGGGTCAATTGGCAAGTTTAGAAGCTGATTTGATGCTACTATCAACACAAAGAGTCCATCTAATCCATATCCTTGCTGGAAACAACCTGCGAGATGCGGACCTCCACGTATAACTTGTCTCCCTCCAACGAAAATCGGCCATTGCCAACCCAAGTGTTGTTCTCGAGGTCCTTGAGACGGGGATGACCAACCTCAAAAGTGGGATTCATGGCTAGAAAATGTGTTAGCGTATTATATCATACAGATTTATGTCAAAGAACTAACTAGATAATCCGAATGGAATAGTCTTCGGTTGTCCTTGGAAAATGGCTCCCAAGTCGGGCGAAACTCCGGAAACGCCCGAATAGGCGAAGTTGATGCCCTGCCACTTCATTAGTTCTATGTTTTCTTGCTGATATTGACGGTACTCACTTCGCCTTCAGTGGTTCTGATTGATTTGTCAGTGGGATTCATATAATTAAGCACGTGAGATATAAACCCACCTTGCAACACCCTTGACATTCATCCGACTATGTTGCTGATCGGGATCGAAATACAACCAGTCGCCAGCAAATACAACCTCGGCATCGATGCTAGGTGAAAATCCCTCTACAGTGGAGATGCTTCCGCCTGGGGTGCTCTGAACAAAAGTTAGGAATCAGTTCATCTGGTAGATTGAGACTGGAAACTCACATAGTGGACAAAGGTCGACCCTGAAGATGTTGCGCCTACAGAAAATGATTAGACCGAGGCGATGTAATGTACACAATAGTATCTTCATACCAACAGGCTGGCCCTCTCCTACTTGCAGCTATGTCTTTGTTAGTCAAGTGAGATGCTTTTGCATTTGATAACACACCTTGAGAATATAGGCGGGGCGAAGACTGGGAAACCCGGAAGTTTGAGACATGGTGATGGGAATGTTAAAAGGAGATAGCTGTTTGAACTCGATGTTACCTAGGTAGCGATGGATTTGATCGGTTTTATATATTTCAAAAGTAGTAACACCCTGCATGTCAGACTGTCAGAAACAGTGTCAGATCGTCAGACCTGGGATTTTGAACGACACAGAAGCACAGACTCAATCTAGATTGGACGTCATACATTCTAATGGCCATATTAACAGAATCTCGGCTTTATGATTTACATAGACTAGATGCTCGGAGTTATACAATAATATAAACAAAACACTCATGGATTATTTCGATCCAGAAAAGTGATAACATTATAATGTTTTCGATTTTGAATAAAGCATATCTTATACCTGAGTATTACCCTATTTGTATGTAAGGAATTAAGCTAAACCAGCAGAAACACTACAATGGATGTGCCCTAGAATCGAAATGCTCGCTCGCCGCAGTTCAACTAAATTTTGGAAGCTAACTAGTAATCTTATTGAAAGATAGTAATTGTCGATTGGTTATCTAGATAGACCTGGATTTCATCGCGCGCTTTAATTTCCCCAGACTAAAGACAGGCCATAGCACGTAGTCCTGTTATTATTAGTGGATGCCATGTGTCCAAAATCGAAGAGTAAAAACCTACCCAGATAGTGCGAAACGCGAAGATATCCATAAACCACACAAGGGTCGAGGTATTGCCTACCCAGTGCCAGGCTGGTGGACATGCTCTTAGTGACTGCTGCACCACCGATTTGGCATACACCATGCGATCGGTTGTATCTGTTGATCAGCCTACTTTGCACGAACAATATTCAATATTTCAGCTTACCGGGTACTCGTTGGACATGCGCTTGGAACTCCGTTTGCAGAGGAGCGTAGAATGAGTCTACATATTTCATTAGTTGACAATTTGGGAGCCAAACTGCAGGGGTTGCCGACGTACCTGGAGGGAGAGTACGCGATGAATCACGGTCAAGGATATTGGTGCCAATATTGCCAGATATAATCTAGATGCGTTGTTAGTCTCCAAACTCATATATTATACTGACTTGAGATATTACATTGATGACTCGGACGCTGTTCGAACGATTAGCGAGCGAAAAGGTAGAGAGGTGGATAATTGACAGACCCCAATGGGCTCATCTCCACTCGGAGTGTATTTCCCCAGTGATGTAGTGCAGCTTTACTAGCGTTGTATGAAGCTACATTGCAGTCAGTTGTGGATTTCAGCCGAACCCATATTTCAGATAGACATACAGCCATACATGTAGGGTACAACCCCTCCGACAGAGCCAATATTGACGACACACCCTTTGGCTAGAATTAGCAAGGGGTGGAAGATATTTACCATTCGAATTGGTCCGAAGAGATTGACGTCAAACATCTGTTGCACTTGTTTAACATCGGTGTCGATGGCGGTCATTGTATAGCCTGCTTCTTAGTATTATTTCATCCTGTACTGCATCAACAGAAGCTTACAGATCCCACTATATATTGTTAAATTGAAACAAACCAAATCGAAGATTGATTGTCACGAAGACTTACGCATTGTTCACTAGAATATCGAGTCGATCTCCAATCTTCTCCTCGACTGCTTTGCGCAAGGCTCGGACGGAGTCATCTTTCGTCACATCTAACTCAAAACAAGCGATGCCAACGGAAGAAAGATGCTCTCTAGATTCCCAGGGCAGAACAGTGGCCAGAACAGTGCAACCTGATTGGTTTAATGAGTTGCACATGAATAATGAATGGGAGTTGTACCTCGAGCGCGATACTGAAGAGCCAAGGCCTCGCCGATGCCTCCCTTTCCACAACTGAATCGTTCGTCAATATTGGGAGATCCAACAAACAAAACAAAACTGACCCTGTAATTAAAACGGACTTCATTTTGGTTTTTCCGATGCTTAATTGGCCTGTGGGAGGGTTAAAGTATAGGTCGATCTGACCGATCTGACCGCGTATAAGCCTGACGTCTGACGGTGAGATCGTGAGCCTTGTCACTTTGTCACTGCACCCTTGGTCAGATCCTTGCTGTATACATTTAGAGATTATATAGAATAGTACAGGGGATATATATACACAGTTTGAAGAGTGCAAGTTTATTCCCGAATCCTCAAGAATTTGACAATTGACAATTCCATTCCCAACCACAATTCTATTCTACGTTTACACCGACGAAATGGGTTCTATCGACGTTTCTTCTCTCGAGGCTACTCTTTCCAATGGACCCGAGCCAACCAATGACCCCATTGTGATTGTCGGAATGGGTAAGTATTACTCCATCTTCTCGAGTCCATAGAGCTAACCGATAAAGCTTGCCGACTTCCCGGTGGCGTCTCCTCCCCCAATGACTTCTGGGAGATGCTCGTCAATGAGCGAACTGGTCAATGCGAAATTCCGAAGGAACGTTTCAATGCCGACGGATTCTTCCACCCCGAAGGCGATCGTGCCGGTGTGATGAATACCAAGGGCGGCTATTTCTTGAAGGAGGATGTACGTCAATTTGAAAACTCCTTCTTTGGGATCAACAATCTTGAAGCCACATACATGGACCCTCAGCAGCGCAAGCTGCTCGAGGTTGTTTATGAATGCTTTGAAAGTGCTGGTGTTTCCCTCAAGCAGGTTGCCGGCGCAGACATTGGTGTCTATGTCGGTAATTTCACCGTGGACTTTCAGACCATGCAGGCCAGAGATCCGGAGTCGCTGCACCGATACAGTGCCACTGGTTCCGGTACTGCAATTCTCTCCAACCGTCTGAGCTACATCTTTGACCTTCGCGGTCCTAGGTATGTGGTCATTAGCTATCAATGGACTTTTCTTTCAATCTGACAAGATCAATAGTTTCACTGTCGACACAGCTTGTTCATCATCAATTTATTGTCTCCACAACGCCGTCAACGCCATCAAGGCTGGGGAATGCGAAGGCGCTGTGGTGGCCGGTGCCAACTTGATCATGGGCCCGGAGCAGCATCTCGGAACCATGAAGGGAGGCGTTCTCTCCCCAACCTCGACTTGCCACACCTTCGATGCGAGTGCCGATGGCTACGGTCGTGCTGAGGGTGTCAGCGCTTTGTATATCAAGCGGCTGTCTGCTGCTCTGCGAGATGGCGACCCAATCCGCGCGGTGATTCGTGGCAGCGCCGTCAATGCGTATGTATTCTCGATCCAGATGCGTCTAAGCATACTAACTGTTCTAGAAATGGTAAAACCTCCGGTATCACTCAGCCCAGCATTTCAGGACAGGCAGAAGTCATCCGCAAGGCCTACCGCATGGCTGGACTCTTCGTAGAAGACACTGACTACGTCGAATGTCACGGTACTGGTACTGCCGTCGGTGACCCCATGGAAGTTGAAGCTCTGAGCCGGGTCTTCAAGCGCAAGGGAAGATCTCCTTTGCTAATTGGTGCTGTGAGTATTTCAACTCAACCATAAATGCGCGGTCTGCTGAACAATGAAACCTAGAACAAAACAAATGTCGGACACAGTGAGGCAGCCAGTGGAATCACTGCTGTAATCAAGGCAATCCTCACCTTCGAGCACCAGGCTATCCCTGCCACAGTTGGCGTGACCAAGTTGAACCCCAAGCGTGAGTCCTGTATCCGAGTTTAATGAGAGTCATGATGCTAACCAGACAGTCAAATTGGCGGATTGGAACATGGAAATCGTGACCAAACTTACCAACTGGCCATCTGCCATGCGCCGTGTCAGCATTAACTCGTTTGGTTATGGCGGTGCAAATGCCCATGCAGTGAGTGATTTACTCTCCAATCCAAAATACTGCGATACTAACCGTGGTAGATTCTGGAAGATCCGATTCAGTATTTGGCCTCAGTCAACAAGATTCCCAAGGCAATCACACATAACCAACCTGCAGAGAAGAAATACCTTCTAGCTCTGTCTGCCTCTACCGTTGAAGCTTTGGAGGCCCGGATCACCGATCTCAGCTATAGCATCCGCAACGGCGCCCACTATGACTTTGTGGACCTCGCCCATACACTCGCAAACCGTCGATCGAAGCTGTCCCAGCGTGGTTATATCTTTGCCAGTCAGGCCACTGCAACAACTGATCTCGTCGTCGAGGGATTGGTCACTAAAACCCTTCCGGCATTGGACATCGCCTTCCTTTTCACCGGCCAGGGTGCTCAATGGGCGGAGATGGGCCGTCAACTGTTCGAGCAGAGCCCGATTTACCGGGACACCATCGACCACCTCGATAATGTGCTGCAGACGCTGCCTGAGGCACCCGCATGGTCGATCAAGGATGTTTTAATGGAGCCCGCTGCTACCAGTCGCGTCGGCGATGCGAGATTCTCTCAGCCTCTGTGTACTGCAGTGCAAATCGGTCTCGTCAACCTACTTAACAGCTGGGGCGTCGCTCCTCAAATGGTGGCCGGTCATTCCTCTGGAGAAATTGCTGCAGCATACGCCGCTGGATTGTTGAGTGAAGCCCAGGCGATCATGATTGCCTATTACCGGGGACATGTTGTCGGCCAGCTCAAATCTCAAGGATCCATGATGGCACTTGGCGGTAGCGCAGAAGAGGCCAAAGAGTTGATTTCAGAGCTTTCTCTCGAAAAGGAAGTGGTTGTTGCATGTGTCAATTCCCCTGAGAGTGTGACAATCTCTGGTAGCGTCTCCGGTGTGGAAACCCTCTTGCAGACAGCCTCCCAGGCAGGAAAATTCGCTCGCAAACTACAGACAGGTGGCAAGGCTTATCACTCTTATATGATGAAGGAGATTGGTGAAGAGTATGAACGCCTTATTGAGCAGGCATGGCCAACTCTTCCCGCCAATTATATCGACAAAGACATCCAGTTCTTTTCGAGTGTGGGTGTAGACGGGCCCAACTGGTACAGCCGTAAGACAACAGCAGTATTGCCTCACAGCTATTGGCGCCAGAATCTCGAGAACTCCGTGCAGTTTTCGGCAGCCGTTACCAGAATCCTGGAGAAGGGCAAATGCCATCTCATTGAGATTGGACCCCATTCAGCCCTACAATTGCCCGTCAAGCAGATTCGAACATTATTGCAATATTCTATCGACGATGCGCCATACAGCGCTACCCTTGTCCGTGGTAAAGACGCCGATATCTGCCTAAAGACCCTCGCTGGAGAACTTTACATCCGTGGACATGATATCAACATCATGGCCGTCAACGATACTTCTTCTGCCATGGCCAAGGTTATTCCCGATCTTCCTACTTACCACTGGAGCTACAGCCAGCTGCTGTGGAGAGAGTCACGACTGAGTAGTGATCTTCGCAGTCGCCCCTACCCGCGTCATGAATTGCTAGGATCAGAAATGGCCGCTGGTAACGGTGTTGACCGAGTCTGGAAGAATACTGTGCGACTGAACGAGGTGCCCTGGCTGAATGACCATAAGCTTGAGAGCCAGGTTGTCTTCCCAGCTGCTGGATACATTTCCATGGCGATCGAGGCCATTTCACAGATCAAGAACCTTGCCGAGGCTGACTCATCATTTGTTTTGCGCAACGTCAACATCGCCTCCGCATTGATCGTACACGCCGATGAACATCAACAGGCTGATTTATACACAACCGTCTCCCCAGCTCGCATTTCCAAGGCATCCACCTCCAGCACTTGGTATGACTTTGCTATCTCATCGTGGCAGGCTGGAGCCGCAGTCTCACATTGCACAGGCTGCATAAGACTCGACCGAAAGTCCTTGCCGGCTATCACAGTCGATACCGCCCAATATGAGCAATGGTCAATGGGCCCATGGTACTCCAAGCTGGCCGAGGAAGGGCTTGTCTTTGGTCCCACATTCCAATCTCTGGTGTCGATGAAGACAGACAAGAAGAGAATCAACCCAGCTGCCGTCTCTGAAACGGTTATCAAGCAACGTGTCGCCCGAACATCGTATCAAGGCGATTACTACACTGTTCACCCATTGACCATCGATGCCTGTTTGCAGGCCGCCATAATGGGTGGCACGGCCGGTAACCTCAACCGACTTCGCGCCCATCTACCCGTCTTCCTCGACCTGTGCGAGATTAACACTCCCAGCACAGAGAGTGTTAATTCATCCGGATCTATCCATTCTCTGTCTCAGAGCACCGGGTTTGGAACCAAGTCGATTGATGCCTCATTGCAAGATGGCTCTGGGTCTTCTGTGATCAACATGCGCGGTGTTCGCCTGTCTCTGTACACCGGCAAGGCTGAACAAGACTCCGACACAGGCCGTCACCCATGCTTGCGAGTGGTCTGGAAGCCAGACCTTAGCCGACTGACAACCGCTGATCAACCTCATCTGCAAGAGGTCATCACCGATTTTCTTGTCAACCACCCCGATTTGGCGGACAATGGCAAGGTTGGTGTTGTTTCCGCCTTGTTGGATCTGGCTGCGCACAAGAATCCTCGACTGCGCGTGTTGGAGCTCGGCAAGGGATGCGACTGCAAGACCCAGGGATGGCGGGAGTTTTTGGATGAGAAGACCGATTTCCCTCGCATCCGAGAATGGAAGACCGCCGAGAGCGAGAAGATCGAGGAGATCGAGGAGAAGTACGACGTTGTTTTGCTTCCTCATAGCACATACCCCAAGTCGTTGAAGAAGGTGGACCAGTTTCTGAGTCTGCTCGATGTGAATGGCATCATTGTTGCCCGAACAGAGAGTGTCCCGTCTGACATTCTGGTTCAGTCTGGATGCACTGTATTCAATCTACCCTTTGGAATCACTCTTGTTCTTTCTTCTCAGCCACAGCGCAAATGGAACCGCCGCGTGGTCCTGCTTCATGATCAACCGTCGAAGATGGCGAATGCTCTCCACCAGTTCTTTGTCGCGGAGGACATCTCCTCTGCACGCCTTGATGAAGTGACTGAGGAGATGATCTCGCAGTCGACTGTCATCTCCCTACTGGAGATGGAGACCCCCTTCATCCCAACCATGACACCAGAGGAGATGATGCGTTTCAAGATCGTCACGGACAACGCTGCAGAGCTCATTTGGCTGACGGGCGCCTCCACTGTGACTGGTGATGCTCCTGATCTCTCTCTGTCTAGCGGTCTCTCGCGTGCCCTGATGCTCGAACAACCAGCTCTGCGCTTTGTGGTTCTGGACGTTGGAAAGCACCCCAGCGGCACCGGTCGCGATGCCATTTGCACGAAAGTCGAGCACATACTCACGGTCGAGGACACGGCCGATGACAAGGAGTTTGTCTGGCACAATGGTCTCCTCCACGTGAGCCGATTCCTGCCCGATACCACACTCAATGATCTGTTCAGCAAGCGCAGAACTGACGAGGTCGAAACCATGACTCTGGCCGAAGCGTCCCCTGCTCAGCTTGCCATCAAGCGTGTTGGCATTACTGATTCAATTTATTTCCAACGTCTGGCCAATCCCCCCACCGAGATTCCATCTGGTCAGGTTGAAATAGAAGTCAAGGCTGTTAGTCTCAACGCCAAAGACATCTACACGCTGTCTGGCAAGATCGAAACCCGCAAGGGCACGGCTGCCATTGAGTTCAGTGGAATCGTCCGTGGCGTTGCTTCAGATGTCTCCAATCTCGTTGCTGGTGATCGCGTTGTTGTCCTGGCACCAAATAGCTTCAGCACCATCGAGCGGGTCCCGGCCTGGGCTTGTCTCAAGATGCTGCCCCACGAGAGCTTTGAAGTGATGCCCACCCTGCCTGTTATCTATGGAACTGCTCTATATGCCCTGGATGATCGTGCTCACCTGCGCTCCGGCGAAACTATTCTCGTGCATTCCGGTGCCGGTGCCTTTGGAACCGCCACTATTGCGATCGCTCTTCAACGCGGAGCGACCGTGTATACCACCGTCAGCACAGATGAAAAGAAAGATTATCTTGTCAACGAACTTGGGGTTCCTCGTGAGAATATCTTCAACTCCCGGAATGATTCGTTTGTTGCCGGTATTCTAGCCGCCACCAACGGTCGGGGTGTTGATGTCGTCGTCAATTCCCTGACAGGCGATCTGCTGCATGCCACTTGGCAATGTTGTGCCAACTTTGGCCGCTTTGTGGAGGTTGGCAAGCGCGACATTATCGATGCCGGACAGTTGGATATGCGCATGTTCTTGCGTAACGTGACCTTCACTGCCTTTGATCTGACGGAGCTCTTCTACCACGAAGATGAACACTACCGCAACATTTGGATCACGTAATATTTCCTCTCCATTCTTTTTTTACAACACCAACTAATATTCTTCTAGTAAATTTGCCGAGGCTTTGGAGCTGTACCGAGCTGGCACTGTCAAGCCAGTTCCCATTTCCACCTTCGATGTTAGTGATATCGCTCAAGCATACCGCTTCTTCTCTACCAAGGGCCGTATTGGTAAGGTCGTGATCTCGTTGGAGAACCCATCCAGTCTCATCCAAGTTGCCCATGCGCGCCATCTCACCACCTTTGACCCAAACAAGTCTTACCTCCTCATTGGTTGTCTCGGTGGTCTAGGTCGCAGTCTCAGCCGCTGGATGTTCGATCGCGGCGCTCGTCATTTCACTTTCCTCGGTCGCTCTGGCTGTGACAAGCCTGCAGCCCGTGAGCTGGTGTCTAACCTTGAGGCCTCTGGTGCTGTTGTCAAAGTTGTTCGCGGAGACATCGTCAATGCCTCCGATGCCGATGCCGCCGTCGCCGCTTGCATCAAGCCCATTGGCGGTGTGATTCAAGCCGCAATGGGTCTCAGTGAGGCCCTCTTTTCCACCATGACCCATAAGGCTTGGCATACGGGTATCCAGCCCAAATGGCAAGGAACCTGGAACCTGCACCATGCTTTAGAAGCTCACGGTGACAGCGAACTGGACTTCTTCCTCCTGACCTCTTCGGTCTCGGGCAGTGTTGGTACAGCCACCGAATCCAACTACTGCTCTGCCAACGGCTTCCTTGACGCTTTCGCAAGATACCGTCGCAGCGTCGGAAAGCCCATCGTCTCCATCGGTCTCGGAATGATCTCGGAGGTGGGTTATCTTCATGAAAACCCGGAAATCGAGGCGCTCCTCCTCCGGAAGGGTATCCAGCCTCTCAACGAAGCTGAGCTGATCCAGGTCGTCGACCTCGCACTCGCCCACACTTCGGCTGATGGACCAAAGTCACTGGCCCCAGGTCTCGAGTATGACCGTCTTTCTGCCTCGCACATCCTCACGGGACTGGAGCCGCAGGCCATCCGCAAACTGCTCGATCAAGGATTTGACGTCAGCAACGGCACAATGCAAGATCCCAGAGCCGTTCTTCTATCTGCATCGCTCGATTCACCTGCTTCTCAGGATTCTGCTGTGTCATCCTCCGCTACCTCTGTATCTGCCCTCCCCTGGGCCGCGGGGATCCCCGCCATTGTCCTCAAGACCATGGTCTCAACCAACAGCGAAATTGCATCCGCGTCCACCCTCAACGAAGCAATTCTTCTTCTTGTCAGGAAGCGCTTCTCGAACCTGCTGCTCATGGGATTGGATAAGATCGACTCGAGCAAGCCAATTACCTCCTACGGAATGGACAGTATGATTGCCTCGGAGTTCCGGTCGTGGTTCTACACCGTTTTCAAGGTTGATATTCCTTTCTTGGATGTTTTGAATCAGACCTCGTCGCTGCAGATCCTATCCGATGCTGTGGAGAGCAAACTGACTCTATAATTTGTTTGTCTTCGTCTTTTCTGCTATTAGAGTTACCTAAAGCCTCAATCATAAACCTTGTCATTGTCATATTGGTCTTTTTTAGCCTTTAAATCTGCCATGTAGTATTTTTAGTATCACAATTCTCAAACAAAAAGCCTCTGACTAGAATTAATACAAACTGAGGTCACCTCTGCTATCCACTATTCACAGGACTTAGCAAAGAATGAAGTTCTCACTTCTGTTTACGTCATTTCCTATATTAAACCCAGAACACATTGATTGTCATGTACAAGGCTTTCCCCCACCAGGTGTAGGTACTTACTTGGTTTCTCCTCGGACAGTTCCTCTTCTTCATCCATTTTCATTAGAATTGATCATTACTTTGTGATATCCCGCATTTCCATCAAGTATTTTAATTTAAGGGGGAGAGCCTCGACGATTACAAAAGTTGGCATTCATAATCGAAATTAGGCGCAGAGATCTAAGAACATTGAAGCAGCGCCTCGAGATTAATTCAACCATCATCTTCTAGTCTCCTTGACGTTTCAAATGATCTCACTCAGCCAATGAACGGTGGTCTGATTTCTGACCATCAGCCTGTCATACGTAGTATATGCAAGTTAGGTCAGAAAATGACTGATAAAACACCCAGCATTTCTCGAAACTATACGAATTGCGCATTTATTTAATCAACCAAAATGCATTTATACCTTCTCGGCGTCGTTGCGCTCGCAACCTACATCCTCTACCGGGGCATCTACAACCGCTACTTCCATCCCCTACGCGGATTCCCTGGCCCCTTCTGGGCCTCCATCTCCGACTTCTTCAAACTATGGATCCTACACACCAAACAAGCGCATACGATAGGCATTGAGTATCATGAAAAATACGGATCTATCGTGCGGGCCGCACCGAATCTATTGGCCGTGGATGATCCTATGTTTTTGCCCCAGATTTATCATCGCCGAGTAGATAAAACTGATGTGTATACAGTTGGGGTTTTAGGAGAAATCGCGCCGCCTTTCCAGACGCTTAAGCATGATGAGCATGCTATGAAGCGCAAGAGAGTGGCTGCTTCGTTTACGTTGACGAACTTGAAATCACTCGAGGGTCAGGTTGATGAGCGCATTTTCCAATGGACGAACGTGTTGACTGAGAGGTTTGCCCACACTGGTCAAGAAATGGATTTTGCTGCTTGGTCGCAGTTAGTAAACTCCGCCATATGAGATATGAATAGTGAGCAAGAAGCTGATTCGGACAGATGGTTTGCCTACGACATGATCTGCCAGCTTTCCTTTGGTGAACCGATTGGATTCATCACTCAAGGCCGTGATGTGGAGAGCTTGATTGAAAACTTCCATAAAATGGCCCCTTTTGCTGCAATTGTTGGGGCTTTGCCATGGCTAGCTCGGCCATTTTTGGAGAATCCCATCACGAGACGGTATTTCATGCCCAAGCCCGGAGATGGGTCAGGAACAGGAAAGATCATGGCGGTATTTATACACCTCTCAGTACCTTGGCATTCAGTCAAAGGTAGTATAACGCTAATAATTGACTAGTTTCGCGATCGGCTCCTTGAAGAGCGATTGAAAAATCCCAAACAACGACAGCAGGGTGACTTCCTAGACAATATCCTAAACGCAAAGAACCCCGATGGGTCTACAATTACGCTGGACGAAGTCAAAACCGAATGTTTTGTGTTAATGGTCGCGGCATCTGATACAACAGCCGCATTCTTCTGCGGATTTCTACGATACGTGCTCCAAACTCCAGGCGTCCATGAGAAGTTGGTGGCCGAGATTGACGATTATGATCGGCGAGGACTTCTCAGCCATCCGGTTCCGCTCTACGATGAGATCAAAGATATGCCCTACTTCTCGGCCTGTTACAAAGAGACAATGCGCTATCAGCCCTCCACCCCGATGATCATTCCCCGCTACGTCTCTGAAGGAGGCATGACACTTCATAACCAATTTATCCCAGCTGGAACGGAGATTGGTGCCAATCCGTACGTTGTCCATCGAAATCGACGGATCTTTGGCGAGGATGCTCATGAATTCCGCCCCGAGCGCTGGTTGGAGGATCCAGATCGGGCTGCCTTGATGGACAAGTGTATTCTCACGTGGGGATATGGTACTCGCATCTGTTTAGGCAAAAATATTGCACTTTTGGAGACGTATAAGCTCTTGGTTCAGGTATGTTTCTTTTTCTTGAAGGTCACTATTCATTCTCGCTGACTAGCTGGTAGTTCTTCCGTCTGTTCCGACCCAAGATCAACAACGGAACAAGGCCAGTTTGGAAACAGGAGAATTTAGCCTTGTTGGTGCATCATGATTTCTGGATCAAGATTGCTAGCAGAGATCATTTGTCCTAGGTCTACAATGATAGTGTTGCCTAGATGATTCTATAGCTCGAACGAAATTTTATACAGTTATTACAAGAAACCCCAAGCTGTCCTAGCCACTCCAGTTTGCGAAAGACCTCGATTCATATATAAAAACACCATTACTGAAGGATTGTGACAATTGCGGGTGACACTCATTGCCTAATTTAGCAACTTATTTATGCATCTTCCGGGCCTCGTCCGTTACTCTGCATGAATAATAGATTTGAACCTTGGAAGCACTCTTTTGCTTTGATATACCGATTAGTTTTGTAGTCGCTCTACGAACTTCTACTTGTTCCTATCCTGGTAACGCTAATGGCAGGACCACGCTAAACTCAAATAGGCACGCTAAATCGTATCCTATAAATTCACATCACTGGAGCCTGAGCCTACGGGCGAGATACGTTTACCACGTTGTACGAAAATGTCGCTCCCCACAACGTTCATGAGACTTGCAAGTTAGTGAAATATACTTCTTGAGCTATATCCGTAGCGCTAACCGGAACACAGGTCCCAATGAATGTCGTACAATTAGTCGCGAAGATGTCGGCTTCTACAACGCGCTCGTCATAGGAGCAATCTATGAAATTGCGAGTGAAAATATAGATGTCCACTCCGCTCAGTCATTTATTGCACCTTTGAGACACTGCATCGAGAAGTTCCCATACCTAAGCGTGGTCATCAAGGCGAAGCAGACGGACAAGCCAACATACGAAGCGGTTTCTAGTATTGATCTGCACGATCACTTGTCTATAATTCACGAAGACGAAGCCAGGACCAATGGCGATACGGCAACAATTCAAAAGATCTTACCAACCATCCTTGACCGCCCATGGCCTGCTGGTATCCCACCTTGGCGAATCGTGGTCCTCCCTTTGGTATCGCCGCAAGACCCCACAGCGACGCGATGCTTTATCGCCTTTGCGTTCTCCCATGCTCTCGGGGACGGCATGGTCGGGGTTGCATTCCATCGTGCCTTTCTCGATGCATGGCGCCAGACTACTGGCATGGAGGAGAAACCCTCTTTCTTAGTGACTCTGCCAAGTCAAACGCTTCCGGCACCGTTTGACACACCCGAAAGGCTTCCTATATCTTGGAAATTTCTCCTCGAGCCATTGATTGCAGTTTGCTTGCCGAAGTTTATAGCCAATTTTCTTGGGCTCCGCGCATCTGCCAGCACTCTAGATGCCGGGACTTGGATTGGGTCACCCATGTTCTTCGATCCGGCAGCCGCTCTCCAGAGCAGAGTAAGACTCCTCGAGATTGAGGCTCCGCTGGTCCAAAAGGCCCTGCAGACTTCAAGAATTCATGACACCAAGCTCACGGCAACGATGCACCAGATGATCGTCCGGGCGCTAAGCAGGGCCATTCATAGCCCTGACGTAACCAATTTTGTCTCGGGGACGCCGGTTGACATGCGAGCGTCTATTGGGACGCCTGGTCTCACATGGGGTCTTTTCGTTTCTGCCTATTACGAGGCACATCCACGGGCACCGAATGTAACGGAGCCTCATTTTTCCGAGGAGATGTGGGCAGCCGCGAGCTCGATGACGAAAAATCTCGCTGCGTGCGGTGCGAGACTGCAAGATCAAGCAATCGGCCTATTGAGATACGTTCCCAGCATCAGAAATTGGACATTGAGTAAACTTGGACAGCAGCGGGACTCCTCGTACGAGCTGAGCAATTTGCTTGCCTTCGATAACTCGAGTGACGGGTCAGTCCAAAAGTGCAAGGTCGTCAAGATGGTGTTCTCGCAGCCTGGAAATGTTACTAGTGCCCCGCTTGTTTTCAACATCATCAGTGTCAAAGGGGCAAGCTTGGTGTGCACGGTGAGTTGGCAAGCTGGAGCCTTAGGTGTGCCAGTAGAGGAGGAAATGTCACTAGTTGACGGTATATGTTCGTCAATCCAAGCGGACTTTGAAGCCTTGAGGGATTGATGTTACACCCGACATACTCATGTTTTGTTGGCGGTTTGTTGGCCTACTGTACGCTTATGTTTATACTTGTTATATTTGTACTTATACTCACTTTCCATCTTGGGGTAGATGTGTTCTAGAGAGATCATCCCGAGGCTGGAGTGGTTGCGAATAATAGAGATGTTCACTAGATTCGAAAATAGCACTTAAGCAGGAGGTAGCCGCGGTAAAATCTTAAAGTAAGCATGTCTACCCGTCTCCGCTCGACCTTGTTATTCGAGACGTAAGCCATCCATCGACATAGAGAAGGCAATAGAAGACAAAAACAAGCAAAAACTAATGGGACGAGCCGGGATCGAACCAGCGACCTTGCGAACTTCAGTCGCACGCTCTCCCAACTGAGCTATCGTCCCACTTGGGATAAAAATTTAGGCTTAATTAGATAATATAAGTTGGCACTGACTGCACTGGTAGAATACGGATACCATATTTCAGGTTGTGAGACGACAGTACATAATTATGTACTTGTTATTTTAAGCTGATCTATAGTTATGAACTGATAATTGCTTACATATACAAGTCCTAGAAACATGTGGAAAATTATTCATTATGATAGGAGTCATACAAACGTAGGACTACGGTTAGGATCTAGAGAAATGAGTAAAGAAGGCGGAGACAAAAACGGGCTACCTGGGGAGCTATAGTCTGTTCATGATGCATAACTATTCCTCGATCATCATCCCAAATGGGACGATAGCTCAGTTGGGAGAGCGTGCGACTGAAGTTCGCAAGGTCGCTGGTTCGATCCCGGCTCGTCCCATCAATTTTTTTTAATTTCTCTTGCATTTCTTCCCACCCGTAGCTGCCATGGGTCATTCATTCATTCGTTGTTGCCAATCGCAAAATCGGCATTCAATTGGGAGAATTTTGGTATTTTGCCTAGGAATCGTATCTGTGTAAATGTATCGGCGCTGCGGAAAATTTTAGTCGCTCCGCGTTCCGGACATTTATGTATATATCTCACGATTCTACCCAGCGGAGTGTCGACAAACTTCCTCATCCTTGGACCCAAGAGGGCATTCCATGAAACCTTTCCTCGAGTATCCTGGTAGCACGTCGAGAGAGATACAAATAGTCAGCTTTGCCTATATCTACTCAGCCATGATAGAAAATGGAACCATTAACTATGCAATCAATGGCAAACTTTGTATGAACAAAAACCAATTCCATTTCTCATTATTCAATCTTGCGAACAAATATGCATTACTAGCCTAGTTGTACGGCTCAGGAGAAAACACTTTCTTAAGACGGAAGCGCGACAAGTCCCGAATAACCTGCGCCGTCTGCTTCAAGTTCCGCTTAACAATAACAGCAGTAGGGAGCGAGAAAATCTCCTCAATCTCCTCAAGGGTTTTGTTCTTAGTCTCCGGCATGAAAATAATCTGATAAGCCCAGCCGAGGATGGCAATACCACCGTAGAAACCAAGCGTCAGACCAATCCGCTGCATAGACTCCATCATGCGCGTGAAGTTGTACGTAACGATAAACGAGCACAGGAACAAATTAGCGTCGGCCGTCGTCATTCCATACGAGCGCAGATATGTAGGGAAGACCTCGGAAGGCACGACCCACGTCAAACAAGCGTACGAGCCGAAGAAACCCATGTACAGCACAATACCTGTGAAGTAAATGCCCTGTGCCGCGGCGGGGTACTTATCAGCATCGATAGTGTAGCCAACACCGACGAGCAGAAGACCAATGAAGAAACCCGGCAGCATCACATTCGCCCAGTACCGACGACCAAATCGCTCCATGTATAGCACGGCCGGGATGGTGCCGATCAGCAATGCCCCACCGCCGACAAGAGACATGAAGACAGCGTCCTTGTCGCCGAAGCCGATGGCCTGCATCAGCGTCGACATGTAGTACATCACTGCGTTGACGCCTGTGAACTGTCCTAGGAAGATCATGATATTGGCGTAGACCATGGCGCGGCGTGCGCGAGGTACAGTAAAGAAGTCCATCCAGGGGTAGTTCTTCGACTGGGCTTGTTCCTCGCTTTCGGCTGTGACGGCTTGTCGCATTCCGAGGAACTCGTCTTTGGCTTCGAGGTCGTTGAATCCACGGATCTTCTTCCATACTGCGTACGCTTCGACCTCGCGTCCCTTGTGCATTAGGAATCGGGGACTCTCTGGCAGGAAGAGCATACCCACGAAAAGGATTGTTGAGAAGACCAGCGAGGAGCCTAGGATGTAACGCCAGTTTCCTTCGACGCTAACGAACATTGCAGCGACGGCGTAGCCGAGGACTTCACCCAGGGCGATGTTTAGTTGGTACAAGGATACGAGGTTACCGCGGAGTCTGCGGGGGACTATTAAAGAGTGGGGTTAGAACTGGGTATACAGATAGGATGGGGAGTGATGGAAAACATACCACACTCTGCGACATAGACTGGGACAGTACCACCCTCCAAACCGACACCAGCGCCAAGAATGAATCGGCCTGCGAACACCATTCCGAAGTTTATAGCACCAGCCTCCAGGGCGGCACCGATTGTGTACAGAATACAGGAGACAATGATAGCCATACGACGACCGAGGTACTCGTTTGCTGGAGAAAGGAGAAGAGCACCGGCAACGGCTCCGAGTGGCATGCCCGCGTTGACTAGACTGTTATCTGCTGCAGACAGACCTAGATCAACGGGGAGGTAGAGGTTTGCGCCACTGATAAGCGACTGGTCAAGACCAGACAGCATACCTCCCATGGACGCGAAGGCGACGAGGACGTAGGTAAAGGCAGCAGGATTGGACATGGTTATATCGAGGCGGGATTTGGGGATAATGTGCACCTGCTCTTCCAGCTGCTGCAGTTCCGCATCCATGGCGGCTTCGCTCAGCCCGTTTTGGAGCTTTTGGTCCGCCACATCGTCCATCTCAAAGGCGACGGCGTCCTTGTCTTCGCTGTGCGTGTTCTGAGGTGCCTCGACATCTTTGAGGTCGGCCATGATGAACGAGACCTCAGGATAGGAGTTGGGGGTCTACTAAAGGATATGTATAATAGTGGAGTGGAACT